ACTAACCTACTTCATGGTGAATATATCCGTACCTAGCAGAAGAAAGCGACTATTTCCACATCTGCTGAGATACGATACAAACCTACTTCATTGTGAATATGCCGTACCTAGCAGAAGAAAGCGACTATTTCCACATCTGCTGAGATACGATACAAACCTACTTCATTGTGAATATGCTCGTACCTAGCAGAAGAAAGCGACTATTTCCACATCTGCTGAAGTGTAATACTTATCTGTCAGTAGATTTGTTTATGAGGTGTTGAAAACTAAATTTCGTTTCTTGTGTGTATTTTAACTTTCACGGAGTTTTTACTATTTGTTGAAAGCTGAAAATGTTTGGTACCCCATTTTCTCACTTTAGGATAACATGTGTATACTTGTTTTCCAGAAGATGAGATACCTCTAGGCTTTCCGAGGTTTACAGTTGAACCCTCCTTGCAAGGAGTTGAGAGAGGTCGTGATGCCTTATTACCCTGTCAAGCCACGGGAACCCCTCAACCGGACATCTTCTGGTTGAAAGATTTTGTACCTGTGAAACTGGATGACCCAAGATTAAAACTGATTCACGGAGGTAGATACCCGTCTGTATTGTTTTAACTAAAACCTCTATTTATTTCTTCGGCTGTTTTACAAATATCAAAATTTCTAAAATCTTTGAAGTTCGAATCCGGATTTAACAAATGTAAATCACTGGCAAGACTTTTCACCTCCGAGTCTAACCTCCACCTTCTATTTGAGTTTTTTTTTTTTTCTTACGTAAAACGTGAAGTTTCAACCAAGATTGCTGATATTTTACTGTTAATCCGAACATTCAATCTCTCTCGGTTTGAAAAATCTGTCTGATCAGTCTGATTTTTTGCACAGGTGAATCTAACACACCTGAAGGAAACTGGAGATTTTATAAGCAACTAATAAAGATTTACTTTTCACTAGTTTCGGTAACACAGTTACCGTCATCAGGGCTTTAAGCAACTAATAAAGCTTTACTTTTTACCAGTTTCGGTAGCACAGTTACCGTCATCAGGGCTTTAAGCAACTAATAAAGCTTTAATATAAAATATTAAGTTTAAAACGTTTATTTAGCCAACTCGAATAAATGAATTCACTTCGTTGATAGGCCTAACACTTTGTTCATAAATTCCTAAAACTGACCTTCCAAGAGACACACTAGTAATGAACTCTAAAGCTTGAATAACTAACTTTTGTTAACAAGTTTTTAAAAAAAAACAGTCAAATTACGCCCGAAATTCCCTGTAACCTACTCGTACAGGTTAACGTGAAATTCTATACGTCGTCCCTTTGCTGATATGTCCACATAAAGCCAGCATCTGGTTGATTCTTCATCATGAAGTTTAATAAAATGATGAATCCTTCTTATGTACATGTAGTTTTATTCAGTGTAACTTTGCTTTGATTCATCAGGGTCCTTGCAGATTAAGTACGCTGAAGATGAAGACAATGGCGACTACGAGTGTGTTGCTGAGAACTCTGTTGGTACAGCCATCTCTAAAAGGGCTTCTCTTTACGTTAGAGGTGAGTGTACGACGATAGATAACTAGAACCGTTTGTATGAAGTTTGCTTCTGTAATGGGGAAACATTATTTGACATAGTTCTTTTTTTTTGTATTCAAGATCTCTAAACGTTATATTTCGAATGTCTGAATGTATCTGTAATTAATTATCAAAATTTTGAAACGTTTTGTTGTTAAGGGATAATCGTTTGTTTTTTTTGTTGTTGTTTTTTTCTTTTTTCATCCCGCGAAAAAACTTGTAAAATGTATTCTTTTAATATCCGGGCCCCTCAGTAGCACAGCGGTATGTCTGCGGACTTACAACGCTAGAAACTGGGTTTCGATACCCGTGGTGGGTAGAGCACAGATAGCCCAATGTGTAGCTTTGTGCAAAATTTCAAACAAACAATCTAATATCCGGAATATCTGATTAGGCCCCATACTCCTCCCTGAATTTCAAAGTGGTTTTCGTTAACCCTAAACATGTGTTTTTAATCTTGTAATACTTTTGATCGTCATTTCATATTTGTATTTTGGGCATCAAATGTCAGTGTAATTTTGAGACAACTTTTATAAAAAAAAAATTATCGCCATTTTTTCTTTATTATTACTATTTTAAGCACTTTGTATATGTAGGATACTGCATTGTTATAACTTTATTCAAAATGAAACTGTTTAGTTAAAAGAATGAAATTTTTGTTAATCGTAAAAATTATCACTGGAGAATGGCTGTGTAGTTGCGAAATTTTTGAATCTCCTAATGAGAATGATATCACCAAAGAGACTGGTATTCTTATTCGTTAATGGCCAGCAGTTATGTACGAAGTATCGGCCATGAAGGTTTACTTGTGACAGAATAAAATTAAAACCGGCATTGAAGACTCAAACACTTGGATAAAATAAGAAAACCGAATATTTATTACTTACACAACAATTTGAAAATATAGACATGCTTAGGTCTGCACCATCATATTGACTGGTTTCTATGTTACCGTTATAGAACTCGTGATAACTACTGAGAAATGACACGTTTTCACAGGACAAAAGACAGTATTTCAGACCTAATGTGGTATCTCACAATCCTAAATTACCTTCAACAGATTAACTTCACATTATATGTTCACCAATTGTAAAAACTCGTAAGAACCTTTGTACCCCTCCTACACTACATCCCAAGGGAGCAATGACACAGAAGCATAACCAAACAAGTACAAATTAGTTGAATTAGACGCCATGATATGTAACCTAAGACAAGATGAGGATTAATGTAAGCCTACGACTATTCACAATGTGTACGTAAATACTACTAAGTGTATAACACCTGCACGAAAAAATTGTGCAAATTGTGCTTGAATACATTCTGTTCTGGCTATAAAGGGTATAATACAGTCGTTCTCAAATGGAAAAAGAGTACCTGAATTTACTAGTGAACTATTTCACTTACAACCGTGATCTTTACAGGAGATCTTCTAACATCTTATTGAAAGAAAAGCATATTCGTCTTATGTTTAAAAAAAAAAAGAGTCTTCAGAAGATAATTTTGTTGATTTTGGTTCTCATTACTAGGCCCTTCTTCCCACAAAAATTGCTTCACTAAGTATAGGTAAACCGTATATCTTATATTAGTGTCGGAAACCAGTTTAAAGTTGGGCGTGGTACAACATGTACCGGTAATGCCACGAAAGTTCTAGTAATTGTGACAACGCCCTATCGGTCTCCCGTTTACTTGGTCTATATTTTTCTGTATTTTTGGAGTGACAAGGGATATAAGGGTCACCCAATTCACTGTTGTTCTTTGATGGGAACTTTACGAGAGCTGTTCAAATTTATTGCCTGATTTTATAAAATCAAGTAAAAGAATTTATCAAATGTAGCTGTTATCACGAATGTTACTTGATGAATGATAGCACCGTACTGAATCCGTTTATTGATCTGTACTAACTCACACATACAGGTTGTATTTCGGGTTATACTTACTCTATTGTTGTAATCTTTCATCAGTATCGTACCGTATTAACTTATATCCATTTATTCATTTGTACTAACCCACACATACAGGTTGGAGTCCGGGTTACATCAATCTACTTTGTTGTTGTAAACTTACATCAGTCTCGTACCGTAGGTAGTCTCAGGATATCGACTTTATTGTCGTGTTAGTATACCAAGCATTACGTGAAATATTCTCGAGTGTAGATGCTAGTTTAAATTGCAATACCGTGACGTGCCATACGAGTACCGGTACTGGAATTGTGTTAGGGTAAACTACAATATCGTGGTTGGTGTTAAAAGAATGTCATACAAGTACTGGTACTAGAAATGTGTTGGTTTAAACTACAATATCTAATCAAAAACACCTTAGGTGTGAAAAAAGGTGCGGCTAAAAAAAAAAGGATTGAACGTGCGACTTAAAGGAATGAAATAAAAATTTACAGCCAAACTGGTAGCTACACTTATAGCATTGATAAGAATTTTACACCAAATATTTATTTATTAGTTAACCAGGCCGCGTTTTTTGTTCAACTTAGGGCATGATGGTGGATAAAACAAAATTTTATTTTCATTCCTTTTAAGTCGCACACTAAATAATTTTTGGTGTTTTTGGTTAGATATCATGACTTTTTGTCAATACACACCAACAAACCACAATAAGTAAGAAAAAGTGACACTGAATAGTAACCAACGTTAGCTTCAGGATCGCAACCATACTATTCGGAACAGACCGATACTTTTCAGAACCAACCAGATTCTTTATAAAATATATAATGGTAGTTTTTTTCCTCTAAAACAGCGTTAATAACTACCTTTATAGTAACGCCATGGAAACTAGATTAACAATTTCTTGTCATCACTCGAATGCACTCGGTACAGCCGTATCAAGCATCATTATTTACGGTAATATCATGTGATGCTACACGCTCTTTAATTAGGATAATTTCATAAAATTTAGCAAATTTGTGCTTAAAAGTTGGCAATGGATAATAAATAATAACCGTCCACTCATATGATTCTTTTGAAAACTTGAGCTAGAAACTGCTAATCTAGTTTGCTTGGCCCAAAAAATACTTATGTATCTGCACATTATTTCACCCTATAGTTATGCTGCTCTAAGCCAGCCGTATTCGAATGACAAAAACTAAAAACGGTCCACTTTTACTTTGAGTTGAAGTTGTAGTAAAAATTTTAAACCGATAGCTCACGTGACTTTTTTGCGTAGGCGTGTGCAAACATTTTGGTCAAAATTGAGCGGTTTTTGTTTAATAACTTTGCACATGTGGCTTATATTTAGACCAAATATTAAACGTAATTGTAGGTTCTAAAGATTTATAAATAAAGTTTCTGTACCTTGGATAGGAAGAAAAAAACAAAAGAGGAAAATTTTCAATCAAAATTGGAGATTTTATATATATATATTTAGTGTATTTCTTAATGGGTTGCCTTGGAATTTGGTATGTGAAGTAAGGGTCCAGTAGAACACATCTACTGAAATTATGTGGTACTTTGAGTTACCACAATCCAAGCTACAGAAAGTGGAAAATTGCTAAACTATCACTCCTGTTAAGTCATTCAAGTATTGCTACTAGAATTGTGTCAGTGTAAACTACAATATCATTTAAGTTTAATTATGAATTAGTAACATTATTTATTTATTAATTAGAGACTAAGTACAGAATTGAGGAAAACAAAGACTGTTGTATGTTTCACAACAATTTCATTTATTAGGACCATAATTTCTCCAGTAAATGTACCACCATGTACAAAATGAAATATCTGTAAACAGTTATATGTATGTATACGTGTGTGTGTGTGTTGAACAAAAGAACTTGACATTCACCCTGAGGCATGTGGGGAAGAGCTTAAACTGGACATTTAGAACTTTGTCTCAATTCGGTTTTATACTTCTGTTTATTTCTAAAATTTTCAGGTTGTTTAGTCCCCCCCTTTTTTTAACTGATATGTGACATTTTGCAGTTTTTCTTGTATGAAATTAATGTTTAGTTTCCATAAGATAGGATGCATAATTTAAATTTCTTTTCTCCAATTACCAGTTTCTTAACAGTAAGTTCCAAAGAACCAGAGTTAGAAAACATTCAAGCAATCATAGCATCAACAGTAAAAAAACAATGTTGGTAATTCTAAGAGTCCATGAATCCTGTGAAGCCTTGAGGTGCTTATCTATATGCAAATAATGAAAATGGCAGTCCCATCTTTCTGCCTCACCTATACACAGAATTTCCACACCATGAACTTTCAGTAGGGTGCTAGTTTGTGTTCAAGATAAATGCAGGATGTTTGCAAGCTACTGGATATATAAAAGATACCTACATCTCCATACAACCATAGGTGCTATGGCCTTGTAGAACCATTAAATGACACCTTAAGATGATTATTAACTCCTGAGCAACTCCTTCGGCTTCTGTTGAGAGCATGGCTACTGCACCTGGGTAGTGAGAAGAGTAGCTTGCTGGTCTGACAGTTCTTATGAGTGACAGTGAAAATTAATGATGATAATAACAATAAAACTAAACAAATAATCAGTGTGAGAACTTTAAATAATCTTAGGTCATTAATTCTTATCCTGCCGGCATGGCCTGGTGGTTAAGGCACTCGACTCGCAATCTGAGGGTCGCGGGTTCGAATCCCTGTCACACCAAACATGCTCGCCCTTTCACGGTAAGAGGGAAGGCTGTCAAGTGGGTTGCATCCTTGATGTAAGAAACAGCTTTAGAAATGATGGCAGAGGAAGATCTGCCATCGGCTCAACGGTCCGCAAGGACTATGGGAAATGAAAAAAAAAAAAAACTATTATTTAAAAAATCTTTTGTGTAAAA